ACAGAAGTCTGGATATGCCACTGTTTGCAGGGTACAGGGTCATTGTGAGACTTTTGTTCTCAAAGAAAAGTTTCCGGCAGTTTTACATAGGGTCAGGGCTGTTAACTATAGATTTCAAGCTAGGTTCATTAATCCTGCCAACAATAGAATTAAAGCCGATTAAAACATCCATTATAGCCTTACATAAAATTGGAAGTTTTCTCAGCAAATATACTATCGTGTCTTCTTTAGCCAACGGCTGAAAAAGTGCATTTTAGAATTAACGTTTTTGCATCCAAAAAGGAAAGGTATTGCAGATGGAATACAGCAGTATCAAAGGCTCATTCCACCTTACTTTCTAAATTTATGTCTGTTTAAATATAAAAAAACTACCAAACTGGTGTGATCGGACAGTCACTATCGCAGTTGGGGCTTTTACATTTAACTTTAAGTGATACGACTTATACGTAGGGTGATAGAAAGTGAAGTATACAGTTAAGTTCCATAGGAATATCACATAATCTTTATTGCACTAGGACTGACGCACCATTTTATCGTAAATACCTACTCTGTCACTGAAAACAGGCAAACAACCTGATTAAACAGGTCCCTATTTTGCCGTTGGTGTGGCAGTAAGCCCAACATTCACTGCAGTCTTGTAACACAAAGTACTTGGTTTTGCTGGGGATGCTTTTCAGTCCCGCACTCCTTTATCAAAATAGTTTCCCGACTTTTCTCTGGTCCGACCGGCGCCCTCTGGTTATAAACATCTCAGATGGAGATCACTACACTGACTGTATATGTCTCTGTCGCTTTTGGTGACAAATGTCCTTCTTCAGCACATGTTTATAGCCGCCACTTTCCGTATTCACCATGCCAATCTCTTACCTGATAATAAGTACCTGATACCCCACATCATTCAGTGTATTTTACTTTCTGATTGCACAGTGTATACACCGGTCAGGGACGTACCGAAATAAATGTGTGCAGAATATTAGCAATATTCTCACAAATCAAATGATTTTACTAAATGTCAAAAAAGACAATTTGAAATTGGAATGTACGTGATGTGCGATTATAAGAAATTTTAGCGTTACCAAAACGAAAAAGATATAATCTTTTACAAAAATTATCCACATTCTGTAGAAAGAAACCACGACTTGTTCCCAAGAAAACCAGGAATTGATAGTTTTACAAAAGATTGAACGAAATGATTGAAAAGTCATCGAAAAATCATAATCATTTACAACCAACAAACTACGTCTTGTTCAAAAAAAAAAAAAAAAAAAGAAAAAAAGAAAAAAAAAGAAAAAAAAGGAGATCAGTTAATGGGACTCATAAACCCCATTGACAATTAAATTTTACTAAATGCGGGATCTTATTTTAGTCAATAACTTATATGGTGATTGTGCAATTTAAAATTTGGGAATTTAAAAATATTTAGGCAAAAAATGTTTATTAGCTTGGTGGTTGGTTCATATATGATAATTATAAAAACTATAAAAAAACAAGCTGGAATATTTTCATGCCGTTGGCTCACGGCCAACTTTGAGGTAGGGCTTCAACAGACTGATGTGAGTAAATATTATAACTCCCTGACCACTTGGTGGTATAGCGGCCAGGACACATACAAACTGTTTTTGTTCGAATTTTTATTTATTTTATGTTATTTTATTTTCTTTCTTTCTTTCTTTATCTATTTATTAATTTTCCAAGAACATGAACGCTTACACCATGAACAACCCTTCACGGTGATAACTGATAGAAAGATTTTATTTAAGCATCATGGTTGTGACACTCGATTGCCTCACAGGTAGAATAAAGTGTTTAGCCCTCAGTATTTGTTGTTTTTGTTGTCATTATAGTGTATAGTGCGAGTGTCACGGCATTAAAGATTACGTAACAACGGCTTAAAACATAGTATACTGATGTTTAATACGGCGATATAACAGTATGCATCCTTGCTTTGTTACTTACATTAGTCCTTTGATATTTAAAGTGAGCGTTTTGTACTAACCCATTGTTACGGATATTGTGATATCTGATATGTCAGAAAAGATTAACCAGTAACTGCACTCTTTCAAAATAATGGTTTTATATAAGCTGTATTTCTCTTTGAATTCTACAGAGGTAAAGAAGGTAAAGGAATGTCCATTAAATTGAAAGGACACCACCAAATGTCGCCAAATTTACACACAATTATCATTCGAATATGCTCGATATAGGTTCCGTGTCTAACAGCGTGTGTCTACCCGTGCAGCGGTTGCAAAAAAAAATCAACTGTCAAGCAATTTAATGGCTCTTAAGGGCTGGATGTTTCCGGTAATGCCAACAAAATGTAGATATTATACGTTAATTATATCCTTAAAATTCAGTTCATTTTAAGAAATACAACTAAAGGACTTATTTTCAGCAATAAAACACATGCGTGTAGTCTCAATCTCTACGGCCCTTTTCTGTTGAGCGATACACTTTTCTATACCAGTTTAACTGGTCTGAACACGCAATTAAACTGTCGGGGGTTTAACCCCCCCCTTCCTCCCCCTCCCCATACCACAAGCCCCATTGTACCAAGCAAATTAATCCAATAAACTTGCTGTATAGAGCGCAGGGGCTCCGTTAAGGAAATTGCATCCCTTTGCCAAAACACCTTATTTACAACCTTACAAACATTCTTTTGGATACCAGATGAATCTTTAGTGTTCAGTGACTACGTAAATTAACATTTTCGCGTATGGCATCTTACTGGTGACGTCATAATTACGATTTTGGGGTAAAAATAAGAAAACCGGTTTCTCAATTTTCACCTCTACCTAAGCACCAACGAATACCGTTTGAATGCCAAATTAATGAGACTATTCATTATTCTAAAACCTTGTCACCGATTTTTCTTAAAATTCTCAGTTCAGATTTTATCGTTAATAAAGCAAAACTGCCTTTGTTTAATGAAAATCTGCAATTATGGGCTCATAAATTTATAACAAATACATTTAAACCAAAATGACGGCAAGAGATTGTGACCCATACAATTGTTGTAAACTATGCCAATTTTGGTGATACAATCATGTTCAGGGATAAAGTTACGCCCCATTACGATTACTGCAGGAAGAACCTCATTTTCAGTATCGATGACAAAAAAGGATTACAACATACCTCAAGGCGATCTCTCTTTCTTAACTGTCTTTCAGACTGGTACCGCACAGAAAAGTGTACCACTCGAGATGAAAAGGGTATTTGACTCTGTCAATATTTTAACCAATCAATCAGACCTGACGTCGCAGTTTTTACCTGCGTAGCCAGGGTCACAGTCACATTTATAACCGTTAACCAAATCAATACATATCCCATACCAGCATGGCCAGCTGTCGCATTCGTTGACTTCATTCTCACACTTCATCCCGATGAACCCCGCCTTGCAGCGACACACATGACCGTCACTGGGACTGCAGTCACATCTACCACCATTCTGACACAGGCATCGCTCACAGTGGGCCCCGGTCCACAACTTTGGGCACGTGCACTGGAAGGTTCCATCGAGTCGTGTGGTACAGCGTCCGCCGTGAAGACAGGGAGAACTGGCACAAGGGTTTACACGGGTTTGGCAGTGGGTTCCCGTGTGGGTGGCCGGACAGGTGCAGTTGTAGCCCCCAAGCTTCTGTTCGCAAGTGGACCCATGCTGACATGGGTTGGGCTGACAGAAATCGATAAGGTTCTCACAATACTTGCCAGAGTGAAATGGAGGACATATACATTGGCAGTCACCAAGCTGTTTTTTAAATGTACCGGTAGCGCCATAATCAGTCTCCTTGCATTGCGCGCCGTTTTTGCAGGGATTTACAGAACATGGCGTTGTTGTAGATGTACTTCCTGTGAAAAAGACAAAAACATTGAATTGATCTCAGTCAGGACATGCTTACAAATCATCCTATAATTAAAAGACGAGTGTCTATTTTTTAAAATAGTTAAAACTCATAAAACGAGGAACTATAGTAATTATAAATTGCTGTCAAGGTTCTAAATGCATATTTGTTATTTTTTCGCCAACATTTCCCCAGCTGTCTCTTTAAAACCTGTAAACACGAAATGGCTTTTATAACACATCCCCGATAAGTGTGGTAAATTTACTCTCTTAAAACCCCCTTAAAGTGTATTTAGAAGGCACATGCCACATGTACATACACGTGAGAAACAAACTTGTGTGTAATACATGTAGCAAAACAGTACTAGTACAAGGTATTATGGGCCAATGTGCCATAATATCTAATTGTGTTTCCATATTTTTTTATGATTTCTGAGGGTACACAGCACCATTGGGTATTTCTACGTTTTATTCCAAAAAACTGGCCACTAGTTTGCTTCCTGTCGAATTGATAACTTGTAAAATTGTGACTGTGGACAGTGGACTACTAGCTTGCGTCTTGCCCAAATGCTACTTTTTTAAAGAAATAATGTTTAAATGGAAATGTGAACTGTACCTTGCGTATTTTCGTCCCTATATCCTTATTTCTGACACAGTTATACATATTATCACCTATTATAAATAAAAATTAATTTACCTATAGGTATGTCCATCCTTTATTCCCGGCCTGTCCAAACGTAGAGGATGTTTTGAATCATGCAAAAATGTTACTAAAATGGCTGCTAAGGACAGCACTATCAGCCCCCCCCCCATGCCTATGGTAAATATAATATCTAATCATGCCAATATAAACCATTTATCAGTGCGATATTGATAAATACCTAAGAATTATGAGCTCCAGTATATTCAGTCCCCATGTTGTTTTCTAGCACTTACCACTGGGTCGAATGCATATATAGCCCCCGTTAAAAGGTTGACACATCATTGGTTGTCCTGGTTCTTTTTCTGGGCATGGGTTCGGATCACAAGGATCTTGAAAACATTAGAAATACACGTGATGCCAAATGTTTAATCATTTATATATACTAGCTCATTACCATAGAGATGATGAGAAAATAGTTAAGTCTAATACTAATTGAAACGGAGACCCCGTCGACCGAACCTTATCGCAATATCTTCGGGTCAACTGATGTTGAGTTGTTACCAATGACGCGTGGTGACGTTCTGCCCTTGACTTTGTAGAAGACCCTGCCATAAGGTCGAAACGTCTTCATCTCAATTTCAACGTAAGATTTAAGTTTTGTTTTCTCATTAACGCAGTATAATCTAACTTGATAATTTAAGTTCTCACTTTCAATTCATTTCCAGTTTCATTATCTTTGTAAAGTTAGAACAAATCAAGTGGTTACTTTAAATAATGTACATTTCTTACATATTCAATGTTTTATCCAGCTAGCTTAAAATTCTACTCGGTACTAAAAGTAGGTAAATGTCTATTTTAGACAAATAATTTTATCCAATTTTAAGATGTACGTATACTCCTTTAGCCAATGCATTTATACCCACCTTTTGTCGCCTTTGTAACCGTCGTGGTGGGCAGAGTCGTGGTGGTACTGGTAGTTAGTAATACTCCACACGTGTCTCCACTGTAACCAACAGGACAAATACAGGCGTATCTGTCCACCTTATCCACGCATGTACCATCATTTAAGCACGGGTTGGAGGAACATTCATCAATGTCTATCAGGCAGGTTGGTCCCGTATATCCAGCCGGACAGAGACAAGTAAAACTATCAATTCCGTCGAGACACAGTCCTTTGCTGCAGGTGTTAGACGCACATTTATTGACGTTTTTCTGACAGTTAGTCCCTGTATAACCAACTGGGCAGTTGCACGTGTACCCGTTTACACCATCCAGACAGGTACCCCCGCTACCACATGGATTAGATGAACATTCATCGACATTGGTTTCACAATGCAAGCCAATATATCCCGCTAAACAATTGCATTTGTACCTATCAATATCGTCGGTGCAAGTTGCGCCGTTCTTACAAGGGTTGGAGGCACATTCGTTTATGTTGATTTCGCATGTTGGACCAGCAAAACCAGAGACACACATGCAAGTGAAACTGTTTATACCATCGAAACAAAGACCATTCTTACACGGATAAGAGGCACACTCATAGATATCAGTCTCGCAGTTTGATCCAGTAAAACCGGACGGGCAATTGCAGATGTATCTATTGATTGCATCTTTGCAACTGCCGCCATTTTGGCAAGGGTTTGATTTGCACTCATCAACGTTAGTTTCACAGATAAGGCCGGCAAATCCAGGTTTGCATCCACATGTAAATCCATTCACACCATCAATACATGTTGCACCATTCTTGCAAGGGTGAGAGGCACATTCATCTATATTTGTTTCACACTGGACACCGGTAAAACCAGTTGGGCAGGTGCATATGAATCCATTGACTCTGTCGACACATTCACCTCCATTTTTGCAAGGACCAGAGGCACACTCGTCGATGTTTGTTTCACAACGTTTGCCAGTGAAACCTGCCGGACAGATGCACGTGTATCCATTTACTGCATCTATGCAAATTCCTTTGGGACATGGGTTCGAGGAACATTCATTTACATTCACACTGCAAGTTAAACCGGAAAATCCCGTTATGCATTCACAAACGAATCCATTGATTTTATCTTTGCAGACGGCACCATTTTTGCACGGCTGGGAGGCACATTCGTCTATATTTGTTTCACATTGGACACCGGTGAACCCAGCTGGGCAAGAACATTCATATCCATCCGCAGTGTTTGTACATTTACCGCCATTTTGACATGGGGATGTATAGCACTCTGGAATGGATGGAAATTGACCCTTAAATATGTGATACTACCATATATCATCTTCGTTTTTGAATCCGTATTTACTTAATAACTAGCTAACTAGGATATTGCTGTTACCTTACCAAAAATAAATATATGTATATGATTCTCCTCTGTTAAACTCATAAAAATCCCTTCAAAATCGTTAATAAAGTAAAAAAAATCTTCATTTGATATTTATCCACAAAAATCATCTAAAAGCGTTTAGAAAGCCAAAAACATTTTGATTTTGTTTGCACAATAACATAAACTATACCTACGTCTCTTTTCACAGTTGCTGCCATGAAAGCCAGCAGGACATTCACACGTATAACCAGTGTTCTCTGCGGAAGTCGCATTCCCCTTCGGTTTAAAGAAAGCGACGATCAGCCCAGGGATCAAGCTGCCTTTACTCCATTGGCTTCTTTTATCATCAGCCTCCTTGCATTTTCCGCCGTTTTTACAGGGGTTTGAAGAACAGATCGTTGCTGTAGATGTTGGTTTTGAAGTTTTACTTACTGTAAAAATGATTATAATGATAATAATGCACACTATATCCAGTAGTGAGGACGGAGAACCACTATAATAATAATGCACCCGATAAGATGTTATGGTGTTGAATTTTAATTAAAAGTCGCCATAACTTAACTGAAAATACACCTTAACAGTGCTGGGTTTATAATTTGGTCACATACAGTGCAATTAAATGTAAGTTAATTAATCTCATTGGGATCGAATTGTACACGTACACACACTTGTACAACAACCGAGAATGACTCGAGAGTTTGAAATATCAATTATTTTACATCCAATTTATAACTTATTTTGAAAAGATCGTGACGTAAGATAAAGGTTATTGAAAAAAATCCCCCTCTGCCTGAAATTCGTTTGGGGTGGTCGGCTCATGCCTTGGTTTAACTACTTCTAATCAAAATAACACGATCCAAGGCTGGGCCCCTGGGGACGTGTGTTTTGACAGCGCCCCTAGTTAAAAGCTTTGAGATTGTTTGTGGGACGCTCTGGTTTGAGAGTTAATCCTCTAATTCCTTTGGATTATCCTCCGTTACGCTTATGTGAAGGAGTGATATGATATATCTGTTTATAGTTAAATCTGATGGAGTGAGTGTGCGTAGCCGTGTACAGCGTACTGCGTGAGGCGTCTCACCTCAGCGTGGTGTAGAAAGATGCGTCTCACCTCTGTATGAGAGTGACCAGAGAAAGGTTGTACGAGAGACGCACAGCCTGGAGGGGGGAGGGGGTGGACTGGTTGCACCAGGGTGCCCTGAAAAGGGTGCCCTGAAAAGTCCACCCTCCCCCTTCTCTCGACAGGCGAGACGCTTCTATCGTGCCAATCACAAAATGCCCTTTTCAGGGCACCCTATGTATATCGGTATCTATAAATCTCATACTATGTAGGCGAGACACCTACCTGCCTATCAGAGACGATTTTTCCTCAGAATAAGGGCGAGAAGCCTAACACACTCTTAAAGCCGCCCTCAACTCTGCAAGGGGAGCTGTCAAAACACACGTCCTCGGAGGCCCAGCTCTGAATCGTGTTATTTTGGTAAAGTGGAATCTAACTTGGGCATGAGCCGACCACCCCCAACACCCTCAAACATGTTTTCTTTCTTTTCATCTCGGACTCTGCAGCTGATGAAGGTCACTTGTTGACCGAAAAGCGCTTTCTGCAACCAGTCCACCCTCCCCTCGACAGGCGAGACGCTTCTATCGTGCCAATCACAAAATGCCTTTTTCAGGGCACCCTATGTAGATCGGTATCTATAAATCTCATACTATGTAGGTGAGACACCTACCCTCCTATCAGAGACGATCTTTCCTCATAATAAAGGCGAGAAGCCTAACACACTCTAAGAGTCGCTCTCTACTCTGCACGGAATGTCCTTTTCAGGGCACCCTATATATATATATAAGTGACTATAAATCTCATACCAGGCAGGCGAGACACCTACATGTACATGTACCTTCCTATCAGAGACAATCGTTGCTCATAATTAAGGCGAAAAGCCTAAAACACCCTAAGAGCCGCTTTCTACTCTGCAAGGGGCGCTGTAAAAACACACGTCCTCAGAGGCCCAGCTCTGAATCGTGTTATTTGGGTAAAGTGGAATCTAACTAGGACATGAGCCCACCACCCCCAACACCAAAGGCGTTTTCCCTTGTGCGTCCACCTTAGCACAACAACGCAGATTCCAAGTAAGTATACTCACCACATCATCTCTCAAGGTTTTAATATGCGTTGGCACTTATGTGTGACAAAGTTTAAGCTTATTTAGATAAAACAAAACAGATCCTAAACTACATTAAGATAAGAAAGCAAAACATATTTACCTGCCCGCTTCTCGCAAACAAACCGTCGTGATTGCCCACAGTCATCGTCTCGTATGTTTAAAGTGTCGGTTGATTTTATATACCCACACGTGCTTCTTTTTCCTGAAATCACACGACTTCTCTTAGTTTGGGGACACTTTGATAACGTTCAAAATGTTCTTAAATGTAATAAAATGTTTGTGCGGTCAAATGCTCACAAACTCATTGAAACTCTGTTTTTGCTCCAGAGGAAATGAAAAATTTCTAAATTCCAAATGAGAAGAAATATGCTATTTATTCATTTATTTATCTTTTCAAACAAACATTGATCAATTCGTAGGGTTACATGTGCGAGTCATGGCCCACAAGGATTAATAAAATTAATAAAAGAGTGGAAAACAAATACCGGCATATCATTAATGTAATGGAATACTCACTAATCTTACACTTGTCGTCAGAAATGGCTAGATATCTGTAGTAAGTCCCTGTCACAGAACTGAAAATCAAAGACAAAGACCAAGCTTCAAACCAAGACGAATATCATACATAGGCATAATAAAGTTCTTAACTATACATGTATATTACATATGGTCACCATCCTCCATTGTAAGTGCGCTTTGTATGTGTAACAGTAATTTGGGATGTCCAAATCGGTTAAATAAATAACCTATTCCGAGATATGGCTCGGACAATTTCGTTTATTGTCTCCCCTGTTGTCTCAGTTAGTGATTCAGGATCCAGGATATTGTTGCTGGTATTGGGGGTTGGGGGAGGGGGGGGGGCAGGTATAGAGTAGTTCGTAGGCGAGGTCAGCGGTACCTCCATCTGTAGGCTTCAGTGTTGGGGATATTATCTGGATATGACTCTTTTCTCTTGTGGTGTTTTTATTTACTAATTTATTTATTATTATTATTATTGGTTATTGGGTTGGACAGGGCTTTACTTTGTACGAGAGGTACAAGCAGAGCTATGTGGGGAGGACATGTGACTCACTGTGACCCTCAATGGATCTGTTTTCATTTATTTTGACTGCAAATATAGAGTGCAAAAAAGGTTCATTCAAAGGTACATACAAACGGAACATCGGTGGAGCGTGGATTCCCAGTAACACATGTAAACTACTTCTACTAGATTCTTATATGACTCAAATAAATTCGACATGCCAAGGGATAAACTGAATCCATCACTCGATCAGCCATAAAATACCTTTAGACTGCTCCTTTCTTTAAATTTTTGGTTGTAAATTTAACCTACTTTCGTGACCTACTTTCCTGCCCCATCGACATACAGCTTAGAATGCCAGCAGAAAAATCCGTTCAAACATCATTTTCGGGTAAAATTAAACAATGCCTTTTGGTAATTCTCTTAGTTATACTACTTGAAACTATATGTTGGCATTTGGTTGTTTTTTGTGACAAAAAATTGACTTTGTATGCATCTTTAAGTTATATAAATATGTCGCTACTGCCGCTCCTATACCTTGATACAGCATATGAATTTCCTATGCCTTTAACCGAAATTCGCTGTAAGACACTTTTCTCATTCAAGTGGAATATATATATATATATATATATATATATATATATATATATATATATATATATATTCCAGTAAATATCCCTAAAGCAACATAACTTGTTAAACAGGCAGATTAATTGTGCATAGTTACCTGGGTTTACATGTTAATGACGCTCTTCTGATCGTGAAACCAACCCACGCTTCTCTCGCGTCCTTTATCATACCGAACAAAAAATTCTTCTCGTCACTACTGTCAGCCACGGCAAGGGATCCCCCATAACGCTGGCAGGCTCTCTGAGCCTCTTCCCATGTCTGTCTGCTGCAGAATAGTCTATAGAGAGAGCGAGGATTGCCTCTTGGATGCCCAACCCACCGGGAGTTTGAACATAAACCTGACAAAGAGATAATTGGCTGTTGTCTTGCCTTTTTTTTTTTTTGTGTGTGTGTATGTGTGTGTGTATGTGTGTGTGTGTACCTGAAATCTGCTTATAGGCCTACATGTGCATGTGAAATAAAGGTAATATTCTCCTTTTTCTTTTGAATTTGCTTATTTTTTCATACGAAAAGCCAAGTGACGACAAAGGAATGTAGATCTTTTGTTTATAGAATGGTGTGTATTTTAATTTATGAAGGCGATAGAGTGTTCGTGGAACCAGTAACCCATTTTTTCCGAGTTGTCTCTTTAATTTTCTGTAAACATGCACAAGCAACACTTCCCCAACACCTATAATACATGTAAATACATTTTCTCAAGTCTCTTTTAATATGACTAGAGAAGGTATATCATACGTGTCACACATAAAAAGAAGTCCGATACGAAGTAATGTGTGTTACATGTACGTGTAGCAAAACATATCATAAGGTATTTTAGACCATTATGTGCTATTATCCAATAATTGTATATTTCTAGGTTTTTTTCAACAAAATACTGTGCGACACTTGGCCACAAGTTTCCAAAATAGCAACTGATAACTTGTTAAATTGCCACTGACGACAGTGGACTACTAGACTGTTTCTTTTCAGAACGCTTAATTATAAAAAAAACAATGTACAGGTACGAGGAATGTATATATAGAAATATGAACGCTACCTTGTGAAAATCTGCCGTTACCCCATATAGCAAGGGAAATCGGACAGAAAATTGTAAAAACCCAAAGCTTTACAAGTATTTCCATCCCTGATGTCTTCTGTTCCCTTGGTGCATCGGGCAAGTGAGCTATCTCTCTAGGTGTCTTCAAAATCTAAGGTGTGTTTCCATGTAGCAAAAAATGACGTACCTGTCTTTGACCTTATTTGATATCCACCAACAAATGTTTAATCCTTTTTTTCTAATTAACATAAAGCTTAACCAAAATTAGTATTTGAAATAGAAAACTATTTATCTGATATCGGGCAGTGGAGTTTTTCATCTTGAGGCGAACCAGGATCGCACTAAGAACAGCCTACTTTGCATGTCTGTGAGGAGAACTAGATGTGGACCAAAGTGTGTGCACGATAATGGTGTAGGTGTTACCGTGGCATCGCCCAACTGTTATGAAAAGAAGGCAAGTTGCTAAATATTACGTACGTCTTGATAAGTGTTAAAAGGTAAAATCAGCGATTTATTGGGGCAGGATGCCATACATTTCTTGATATAAAATTGGATTGCGAAATCAATATTTTCTTACATTTTATTAAAATAAAATTGGATCGCTAATTCATCATTTCCTTCATTGTCTTTGTCAACTTAACACTCTCTTCGTTATTTATTCATAAAAACAAAGTAAACGTATATTTTAGATCAGTTATTTAATGTCGTTCCATCCGAAAAGAATTTAGCACCTTCTTTTGATGCCATCATAATTAAAACCAGGTGCGCTTTACAATCTCTGATGACAATGCCTGCTTTGCCTTTAACAATTGAATCACGGCTACATAGACGTTTTAACCGCTTGAGTTTGCAAAATTTCGCCTATCAAGAAACAAGGACGGGATACACCACGAGGCTTCTATTATGTCGAGTTTTATTCGATGAACTAAATTTTCTAAAAAAACACCTTTCACTTGAAAGCGACCGTGAAACTGTTACAGGCTCAAAGGAGGCATGGTGTTCGCTTAGACTACAGAAAGGATGTTCCCGGGCTGATAGCCCTGATAACGCTATTGACGTCGGCGATTACCGAATTTTTTTCCCAGCAAACAAGTAATAAATAGCTCAATTAAGGAACACCACAACTGACTGCTGTCACGTTCTGTACTCAGTTAAAATCCCACAAAAACCTGGGTTTTTCGTAAATTTCGCAGATTTCTACCGCAAAACCTGGTGTATGTATCAGAAAACGAACCTTCGGCATGGATTTTTTCGTACTTTGTCAAAAAATCTGAGAGCCAATATCACCACTTCATTTGTGACGTTGTTGTTTGTGTTTTTTTTTTCAGTGCCTGCTTATAAAATTTTTCAAATATTAAAACAAGTCTTTGTTTTTTTTTTTTTTATTCATTAGTC